GTTAAATATGAGGCAGAGAAGATGGTTGGAACTAATCAAGGATTACGATCTTGGAATTCATTACCATCCCGGTAAAGCTAATGTGGTCGCTGATGCGCTAAGTCGCAAGACCTACTACAATGTAGCTCAAATATGGCCAGACCAAGATCGCCTGTGCGGAGAATTGGAGAAGTTAAGGCTGACCGTGGTACAGTCAGGTGTCCCTGCCAGCTTGACCGTGCAGCCTACCCTAGAGTCGCAAATCCGGGAAGCTCAGAAAGATGATGAAGGGATAAAAGAATTAATAAAAAGAATACAGGAGAAGAAGGACACCGATTTCTCAAATAGACGATCAAGGCACAGTTTGGTGCGGTCCACACATCTGTGTACCGGCCAAGAAGGAGTTAAGAGATCCCATCCTAAAGGAAGCTCATGAGTCCGCCTACTCCATTCATCCAGGAAGTACGAAGATGTACCAGGATATCAAGGCATATTTCTGGTGGGCTGGAATGAAGCGAGATGTCGCAGAATACGTGGCGTTGTGTAACATTTGCCAAAGAGTCAAGGCAGAGAATCAGAGGCCAGCGGGTCTGCTGCAACCCCTACCGATTCCCGAGTGGAAATGGGAAGAGATCGGAATGGATTTCATCACCGGTTTGCCAAGAACCCCTAGCGGGTACGACTCCATCTGGGTAATCGTGGACCGACTCACGAAATCAGCTCATTTCGTGCCAGTGAAAACCACCTTTGATGGAAAGAAACTAGCAGAACTCTACATGACCCATGTCGTGTGTAGATTTGGCTGTCCCAAGAAGATTGTGTCAGACCGAGGCACTCAGTTCACCTCAAGGTTCTGGAAGCAGTTGCATGAAGCTCTCGGAACCGATCTAAATTTTAGTACAGCTTACCATCCGCAGACCGATGGTCAAACAGAAAGGGTAAACCAAATCCTAGAAGACATGCTACGTGCGTGTGCCCTGGATTTCGAAGGCACTTGGGCAAGCTGGCTACGATGAGTTTTAGGGTTTCGGCCTAGTTCCCAAGTCGCGCCTGTGATGTTTGGTCCAAGTCTTGGCTTCCGCTTCCCTTTTGTAATGCAGTTGTGAGCTCGGGATTTGTCCGCAGCCCAACATGACTGTACTCCTACTCTATAATAAAGAGACCTCTGTTGCTGTGATATTCTGTCTTCCTGTGATACCAATACTGTTTCCTAGGACTGGTATCGATTAACAGGTTAATTGGAACGTCACGGGCTAGTTCCGCTCGGGACTAGTTCGGGGCGTGACATGATTTGAGCAATGGTTGTATCAATGGTAGCCTTGGTCACATCACTGACCTCGCGGCAGTCGGATCTTGTCACCGGCCTTGGTCTAGTCGCCGCATCCGCCCACGCCCCCGCCTCCGTGTCCAACTCCGTCGGTCCAAGCAAGCTCCAGAATGGCTCTTTGAGGTCAGAGGTCACCACCTCCTTCGCCGATCCATCGCTTTACCCCCTTCCCCTTCAGATCCATCGCTGCCACCTCTCAGTGCCGCCAGATCTGGCCTATTTGAGGTCAGAAGCTGCGGTGGGGACTACAAAGTCGTTAGCAATTTTGATGAAGGTCTGATGATCCATTCGGCAGTGACATCGTTAACAATTTTGTGAAGTCCAACGATAGGGGAATTGATCCATTCTGTTTGTGAATGTGATTCTGTTTTGTGCGATTGTGAATGTGAATGTCATTTTGCTCTTTGGCTAGATGAATGTGATTGTGATGTTTTTTGTGATTCTGTTTTGTGCCTAAATGATTGTGAATGTGAATGATGAGTATTTTTGTGATTTATGAATGTCTAATGAAGGTCTGCGACTAGCTAGGCTCACATCATTATATTTCTTTTGCCCCATTTTTCAGGTCTGTGACGGGTTTCAATTAGGACCCGTTACAGATAAAGATCGCCACTAACGAGTCAAAATATTTACCCGTCACAGATGAATGTTACCTGTGACGGATTTAAGTTGCAGACCGTCAAAGGTAACTCTTACCTTTGACGGGTCTTTACTCGTCAGAGTTGACTCCGAGTCGTCAGTGACCACTAATCTCTGACCAGGGCCATATCCGTCAAAGGTGAGGGTTTGCGCCCATCACAGATAATGTGATCCAGTGTAATGGCCAGCCCTCCCTGCACGAGCCATTGCTCATGGAGTCGTCGATGCCTCTGCATTTGATGTGGAGGCACACCGTCGGCTTGATCACCCGTGGACCTACCGGCCCGTGAATACATTCTACTTATATTAATTTAAGATGTGCAACCATACTAGTATAATTAGTGCGGCACTTTGATTGACAGAGGTAATCTGCATTAGTAATAGTTTTGGCACTGTTTTCTACGTAGTAACTAATCGAGGAACACCGGTAGAGGAACTGCAGGGACCGACGATAGAGCATAGCATCCCTCATTGTTAGCACTGAAAATGGACTAGGTCCGGCCAATCTTCATTGACGGCTAGCCGCTCTCTTCCGTCGTCATTGTTTTGTGCTTAATTTCTCCCCTAAATCTAAGGTTGCCGGATCTGACCTCGATGGCCATGGTGACAGTAGGCTTGGGTGGGTCGGGTATATCGCTTATTAACGGCAACCTATGGCCAAAAGGATAGAGGTGTCCTTCATTTTCTATTTTCTTTCCATGAACCACTATTTGCCTTAAATAAAGTACTATAGATATCAATTTATTTCAGGCGCTCATACTCTTGGTCCCCGCCCGCGTCGCTCAAGGGTTGGGCGACACGGGCGTCGCCTCCCTCCCCAGCCGACCCATCATCTCCTCCCACCTCTACCTCATTGCCGCCCAAGCAAGCCACCAGAAAACCGTGCCTTTCTTCTCCTCCCTGAAAGTCTTGAGACTAGAGCCCGTGGCCCGATCCACGATGGGGCAGCCGCCGCGACATAGGGTGGAAAGCCGGTGGCGTAGTTTTAGAGAGGGCACCGGTGACCAGCGGCACGCGCGTAGGAGCCTGAGGGTGGCCTCCATGCAGGCGGAGAGGAGGTGTGACTAGATCTGGCGTCTCCTGCCAGATCTGGTCGGAGAACTGGCGACAATGACCACGATCGACGACATGTGAGGCCACGGGCGGTGGCACATGAGTAATGCACGTCCATGGCCGACGGAGCACGTCCAACGCGGCGTGAGGCCGTGGCCGGCAGTGTGAGGAGGAAGTCAACAATGGTCTACGTGAGAAGGAGGTTGGTGGTGGCCTCATGAGGAGGAGGCCGGCGAGGGTCGAGCATGGACGCCCTAGCTTGCGTGAGAAGGACCAAAGTGGCAGCGTGGGTCGCCTGCGGTGGTGGTTGGCCTCTAGTAGTGACCTCGACAGCTTATGACAGCAAACATGGAAGTAGTTAGGCAGTAGAGAGGTCTTCTTCTCTGTTGCCGGCTAAGCATCCTCTTCTCCATAGCGCTCCTCCCCTTTAGTCGTGGGGAGCTCCGGTAAAAGGGGAGGCACTGGCTTTTGCAACAAGCGGTGGCGGTGGCACTAGTTGATCCGAGCAACCCTGCGAGCCAGCTTGAGCTGCGGGGTGGTGACCTCGGCTTGCGCGCTAAAGGAATGTCGTGGTGGTCCGGTGACGGTCATTGTGCAGGATATTTGTGTGGGCTTTTGAACAGGAATTGCTAGTGAAAACCTTGATAAGCCTTGGCCCGACTTGACGACGACACCGACGCCATTAGGAGCCGTTCTCCTCCTTGTAGGTGTCGTTATGGCACTGACCCCTTTTTCCCCAACACCAACTGCGTGCAACAGTGGCCATTGGTGGACTCCTGCAATGGTGCAGAAGCTCTATAGGCTTAGGGTGTTTCTTGCTTTGCGGTGAGTGACCATCATTTTTCTTTGGTTGTTGTTGGGTAGAGTTGGAGCTGCTTTGTTGTTGGGGTGTAATGAAGCTTGGCAACGATTTTTGGCTAGCTGTGTGCAGGAAGTGGCTCCTTGGTAGCTTGGGCCAATGTCCTTTGTGGGTTGTCAAACTTGTTTGTTTGTTTTGGCGTTAGGGCATCTTCGCAGCGAAGTCGGAACTATTATGTCGCTTGTGGAAAGCTTGGTAACGATAACACATGTGAGCGGCTGTGTCACTACTATGGCAAGCTTGGTGCTAATGTCTCACGATGGGCTCCGTCGTGGTAGCTTAGGTTAGATTAGTTGGTGTGTTGTTGTAGTTGTGTTTTTCGCTTAGTTTCCCTAATTAACTGAGAAATGTAAGATATGGTCCCTTTTTAAAAAAAAATTGGGCACCATCTTTTTTATATAACTAGCAAATATGAGCATGCGTTGCACCGGGTGAATATCAAACAAATATGGATGGTTAAGATTGCTTGTGTACTTATAACACATGTGCACAAAAATATTGAATTTGGAAGCGTACAGATCAGAAAAATATGCAATTAATTAAAATACAAATCCATTGAAATATCTGGTATTTTTAAGTAGGTATGTGTATAATTAAATAAATTTAAAAGTAAAGCAAATGTGAGAAATAAAATAACATGGTTAAATTTAATGTTATTAAATTCTCCATGATTAGTTACGCTCTTTAGAATTTTATTGGAATTTTCAGAGCTTAATTGCTAATTTTAATAATACAAACATCATTTAACAATTATTTAATTGGAAAAAGAAACAAAATGCTTCATTTTAGGTTTGATTCGAAATAAACACATTCAACTTCTTCTCTTTTTCTTCTGCCTGATGGACCTAAAATAGGCTATTGGTGCATCTTTCTCACCCGGCCCGAGATGGGTGTTGAAGGCTAGACTTCTTTTCGGCCCTTGCCGGTCGGCCCACGGCCTTTTGCACATGTGCGGGCGCACTTCCCCTCCCCAGGCCGCAACCTGGGCTTGGGCCGGAAAAGTGGCCTTGCTCTCGATCCCTCTTGGGCCGATTTCGGCTCGACCGACGCCGGCCGTCCGATCTCTAGGGTTTCGATCAAACAGCCGGGCGTCGAGATCGGGGAAACAAAACCCCCTCCTTCTCCTCAGCCGCCAAAAACCCTAGCCCATTTCCTTCTCTCCCTTCTCTCTCTTCGCCGCCCTCCCCTCCGCGCCCCCGATGCTCCTGTGCCCAAGTGGAGGCGGCGGCGCCTCTCCCCCCGAGCCCAAGCGGCGGCGGTGGCACCCTCCCCCCGAGTGACGGCAGCGGCGGCGCCCTCCCCCAAGCAGCGGCGGCGGGGGCGGCGCCTCTCTCGCCGAGCCCAAGCGGCGGCGGTGGTGCCCTCCCCCACAAGCGGTGACGGCGGCTCCCCCACCACTGGCGGCGCGGCCACGTCCTCCCCCACCACCGGTAGCGCGGCGGCGTCCTCCCCCACCACCGGCGGCGGCCGGGGCAGCGGCGCCTGTGGAGGCGTCGGCGGCCCGCCGGCGTCCTAGCGGCGGCGGCACCCCTCCCCTCCGCCGGATCCAGCGGAAGGGGAGCTGCGGCGCCTGGTGTCCCTGTGATGGCGGCGGTTGCTCGACGGCAACCTCCCCTTTGATCTTTTTTTTTGGATATATTTGTGTGTATAGTGCTTCCTCCGATTTTATTTTATTTGTGTGATTGATTGAATTCTGATTGGGTATTTTTTTTAGGTGGGGGTGATGGAATTCTTACTGGGATTTGGGGGGAGGCAAGGGTGACGAAAAAATCACCGCACCTATCAGGCAACGAATGGAAAAATACGAATATTTATATTAGTTATAGAAATGTCGGCAACAACCTAACCATCGAAAAGAAATAAAGTACTATAAACCTCCCTAGGCTTGTAAAGACCTAAAAACTACTAGGCCACTTAGGCTGAGTTCGGCACTTCATGTTCACAAACCCACCTCTTTCGTTTTTCGTGCGTACACTTTTCAAATTACTAAACGGTGCGTTTTTTAAAAAAAAATTATATACGAAAGTTGCTTTAAAAAGTCATATTGATTCATTTTTGAAATAAATTAGCTAATATTAAATTAATTACGTGCTAATAGACCATTCCATTTTAGTGCAGGAGGGTTTAGTTCCAATCCTGCACTACCTAACACAGCCTTAATTGGTTTCTTCCATCCTTTGTGAGAGCAAGTTTAATAGTATAGCCCACTGCTATCTCCAAATCATCTATAAACAACGTAATAGTCAATTCATACAATAGTTGCTTGCTATATTATTAATATCTGGTCCCACCTGTCTATACACATTACGTCTTGAAGTTCGTGCTGCAGCGGGCTACAGATCATACACATTACATCTTGGAGTCCGTACTGCAACTGGCTACAGATCTATAGCCCGCTGCTTTTCTCTCTTTTTAAAATGGTAAAATTGGTTATATAATATCGAAAGTATATTTATAGTTGGTTTGTACATGCTTTGAGCAGCTCGAACTCGATATGGATCATTGAGACCAGTCGTCATGTTGGGACATTGTAAATGCCCTCGCACTATACTGGAGAATCTAGAACGGACGGTAGGGCCTTCCTCGCACTGACGCACGAACCGACAAAGGTGTGGTTTTATTCTGGTTATCAGGTGTTACCACCACGTCAAGATGACTGGACGGATGAGATGGCCCCGCCACCACCGCCTGCGGCCCAAGTCGTCCGTCCGTTCCGCCCGCGTTTTCTCAAGTTTCCCCCCCTCCTTTCCACATTTATCTCACCCAGACCAGACGTGCCGTGCTTCTCGTCTCGCATTCAATGCCCCTAACCCCACTCCGCTGCCTATTGTCAACGCCCACGCATCACTTATACACGCGCACCATCCATCTCTTTCCCATTGTCCCCGTCCGTATACTAGAGGTACTTGTTCTTTTCCTTCTTCGCGAAGCAGGGATGAAGCTGGTGTGGTGCCCGGAGATGGCGTCCAAGGCGTACATCGACGGCGTCAGGGCGCTGGCCGGCCACGACCTGGCCGGCGCCGCGGCGGACGTGGCGGAGCTCGTGTCGGCCATGGCCGGCGGCTGGAACGCGCGGCTCATCGTCGAGGCGCCGGACTCCGCGGCTCCGGCGGCAGCCGCCACGAGCCTCGCGCTGGCCGCAGCCGCGCGGCGCACGGGCGGGCGCTACGCCCTCGTGCTGCCGGACCGGGATGCTGCGGCGGCCTCGGCGGCGGAAACGGCCGAAGTCGTTGTCGGGGAGGCGGACGAGGCGATGGCGGGGCTACACGGCGTGGACCTCCTGGTGGTCGACGCGCGGAGGAGGGACGCGGCGGCGGTGCTCAGGGCAGCCAGGCCCGGGGCCAGAGGTATGGTGGTGGTGCGCCACGGCGACGGGAGGCAGCGCGGCGCCAAGGACCTGGCGGCGTCCATGGCGGCGGGGACGCGGGTCGTGCGCTCCGTCTACCTGCCGATCGGCAAGGGCGTCGAGGTCCTGCACGTCGGCGTCGGCAAGGGGCCCAGCCTGCAGAACCACCGTGACCGCCGGAGCACCAGCCGGTGGATCCGCCACGTCGACCACGACACCGGCGAGGAGCACGTCTTCCGGCGGCAGTGATCAGTCGTCGTCTGTTATTCCGTCCAGGTGAATTAAATCGGATGTACCACGGGGAGGGTAGTTAATTAGGTGTAGCGTGTGTTGTCCAGATTCGTTGAATCTGCCCGTTAATACCATGATGATGTATAATCATCGGATGGGTGGAAAGTGTGACGAATCACGAACAATGTAAATACCTCAAACTTGTAGCTCCTCATATCTCTTCCTTCTACCTACTGTGAAAGCTTTCTTTTGAGTTGATCTGCTAGTTCATTCTTTAATTTCCTTTTTCTTTTTTTTTTTGCTGTGCAGAGTGCCTTTGATAATTAACTCAGAAAAAAATATGTTCAATAGATATTCATTATCTATAGGAAAAATATGTAGTGAAAACTGAAAACCACATATATAGCGAAAACATGTAAACAACCGTTGGATATAAAAATAGACCATTGCTCTTGTTACCTAGAGTAACATTTTTTTAGTTAATTGCTCTTAAAGCCACGTATTATTACCAAAGTTTCACTTTGTTCTAGGCTATTGATGTTTTTACTTTTGATCGGGATTTCTTACCTTCTATTACACATTGGATCATTATTGTATTCCTTGCCTTTAATATACTTTCCTGCCACTCACTCCTTGATTTCCTTAGCTCACCAGCAACTAAACGCATACATCAATACTCTATCCTGATCATCTAGTACCTTGATTTTCTTTTTGGCTCTTTTTTCCCACCAAAATCATGTGAGCCGAGAAAAATCAGTTGATTGTGAGCTCACAACAAAAGTTGCTGCAGCGAGCAGCCCTGTGGCTTGATTTTGTGATTTGAGATCAGGAACGGATCCGAGTGAAGGAATCGTAGTCATGTGATTATTTGGGTTAATCCATGCCAACATCTCAATGGAAAAAATACAAGCACCTTGATTTTCTTTTTAGCTCATTTGTTATAAAATCGGCTTGAAATCATCATCAGAAACCAAACACGGAAAAAACGATATAAGAGATCCAAACACGATGACGATACCGAGGCATAATATTTATTAACGAAGTTCAGCCGAAACCTACATCTCTAGGACACTGATTATGGGTGCTCATCCCCGATCCAACATATTACAATGTATCAAAGTTACAATGACCCTCGGCCGGATGCCGCCGGCAGTCACTACCTCTCACCTATGCTAAGTCGTCATATGTGATTACAATATGTACATCCCTCTATTTAAGAGAGGGCCTAGGATAGAGTCCGACTCTTACTCTATTCTTATACCATATAACTCCAAGTCTTAAATTGTAGCTAACTACGTATACATATTCGACACACAAACTCTATCAAACTCCACCTTGGTGAATATGCCACGCCAATCTGAATTCATTATTTACACGAACTTCTGTGCATTCAGAATTGAGTTTATTCCTTTTTTTTCCCATAAACAAGAGACTCCGTAATCCCTGTAACATCTTCCTCTTGACTCTACCTGCAACAGTACTCCACCTTCTCTCTTATGATAATAATTGTCTTACCAAGCGAAATTGGATCCTTCCTAGCTGTCAATCCATAGATTCTCTAAAGACCATGTTCATCTAAATTTTATGTCTTAAATTTGCCTTGATCTAACCAAATAACCGATGTAATCACCACATAGATAAAATTCAACTCACCATATATGAAGAGAACACTTTCTTCCTTATCGTCATATGGACTGAGCTAACAAATCCAACATTCACACTTCTCGTATCCCACTACTACAAAAATGATTTTCTTGGACGAACCCATCGTTAGATTCCAAACGGTCAATAACTGACCGCGTATGGAAAAATCGTCCTCCCATTCTTGCTTGCGGATCCTTAAGAGGTCCGCACGCAAAAATAAGACTATTTTTACGTGCGAACCCTTAATAGGCCCGCATGTGAAAATCCTCTCCCTAGATTTTGAAAAAAAAACTTCTCTAAAATGATCCAATTGTTTTAAAAATTGCCTCCACAACCTACTAATCAGTTGGACAAAAAGGATTGTTCCATGCCATGTAAGCAATACAAAAATATATTCATAAACATTGAATCATTCCATACATTCATCGCATCATTCATTCCTCGTGATATCATAGCATACATTCATGCCATTTTTTAAAAAAATTATTGCTATACATGCCATCAAGCAACCTGCTTATCTTTAAATTAGTAACCTTCGTGCTTGCTGTCCAGAATTTTTAAACTTTTGTAAATGTGGGTTCAACTAAGATTGATCATTGGCCATTTGATCATTGGCCATATATAGATCCCAAATATATATACCATAATGTATCTTGTTAGAACCAACTTCTCTAGTTCCACTTTTTGGTCATCTACCAAAGCCTTCGTAAACCACAACTGACTAAAACCTGCCACCCATCTACTAAATAGAAGTCAAGTCTATAATACAACTTAAGAAAGTTACTACCACTCGTCAATCCTCAAGATATAGTCATGACTTAAGCTAACCTCACCCACAGGAGATTAGGTAGAACCTTTTGTTAGAGATATAATGTGGTATGTTTGAAAGAGGCTTAGGAAAAATAATTAAATCAGATACTATTGTGTTATCAGAAAGCATCATGCAAGTAAAACTTTTAGTAGGTCTTTCGATCATCAGTCAAGGTTAGGATTATAATCCATTCATAACTTTAACAAAAATTAAACGGAGTTCGACAGTAAGAACCACACTAAGAAGAGTAGGATTCTTAGGAAGCCAACACATTGATCAACGTAACCACTACAACCCTACCCAAATCTCGGGGACGAGATTTATTTAAGGAGGATAGGTTGTAACATACCCGAATTTCAGGATGAAGAAATTTTCGTCAAAATTAGTTGAAAGGAAAGTTCTTCAATTTTGTGAACCAAAAATTTCCATTTTAAAACCTAGGGGAAGTTGACCTAACTCATGTAACTAAATAAAATTTGAGAGCAAATTAAAACTTTTTCGGACCATTCGACGCGTACGTCGTGCACGCGCGCCGCCTGCCCGGCCCGGCCCGGCCCGGCGAGCGAGCGCGCGCGTGTGTTTCCCCTCTTCTCTCCACCACACATGCTTCAAGCGACTAGGAGGGCATCCTCCCTTTTAAGGAGGTCCCCCTCTCCTAGAATAAGCAAGGTGGTACTAAACTCCACATGCATGCCATCCCATGAGGTGGGCTTTTGTGATTTTCCAAAGAATTAATCTTCGAGTGGGCTAAGGCCCATTCATTAATTCCAACAATCCCCCACCAAATCTCAAAATCCCACTGAGATTTGCCTTTTCCAATGTACTGTTTATATACCAGCGGTTCGATGGAGACCAATTAAGGTTGAACATCCACCTAGAACTCCAAGCTACACTTACTCACAACTTGAACAATGGACTACGCCTTGAATTGCAAGTCTTGTGCAAGCAAGTTTCACTCAAAGTCTTATCTAGTACTAGACCGTCTGTAGACTACCCCTCGGGTGGAGCGTATAAGTCATACTCCTAGGTCTTTAGTAAGCTTCCTAGAAGATTCACCCAAAATCTTCATAGACTGCGACCAACAGTCAAGCTCACAAAGGTGAGTTCTTTCAAGAATGCTCTGCAGGACAACATCTTTGCTAATTAAAGCCAACAGAACTCATTAAGGCATAGCCAACCTGCCTTGCAGCTCATGAGAGTATATGCATCTTTACTTGGAGAGGGTATATATATTGGTACTCTCCTCTAGTTTATTAATGGTTTGTTCTTCCCAGGATCTAATTCACGGGATCTCCGATCACATAGACTGGGTTACCACCATAGTATAACTCACATGGGTCTCAAACCCATCTCCTTCGATGCATTGTCTATCACATTTCGTGATAGTCCCTTCGTGAAGGGATCTGCCAGGTTTCTCGCTGTTTGGATGTAATCCAACGTTATAAGTCCGGAGTTTCTTAATTTCCTGACAGACTTCAATCGTCTTTTCACATGTCTAGAAGATTTCATATTATCCTTAGAACTATTCACTTTGACAATTATCGTTTGATTGTCACAGTTCATAAGGATAGCCGGCACCGGTTTTTCAACAACAGGCAGATCCATTAATAGATCACGCAGCCATTCTGCCTCAACAGTAGCAGTATCCAGTGCCGTTAGCTCTGCTTCCATGGTTGACCTCGTCAAAATTGTCTGTTTGCAAGACCTCCATGAAACAGCACCACCACCCAGTGTGAAAACATATCCACTAGTGGCTTTGATCTCATCCACATCAGAGATCCAGTTAGAATCACTATAACCCTCCAGTACCGCAGGATACCCAGTATAGTGAAGCCCCAATTCCACAGTACCTTTCAGATAGCGCATTACTCGCTCAAGCGCACGCCAGTGATCATCTCCCGGATTAGAGGTAAATCGGCTCAACTTGCTCACAGCAAAGGATATATCAGGCCTAGTTGCACTAGCCAGGTACATCAACGAGCCAATGATTTGGGAGTATTCCAGTTGATTCCTAGCAATTCTCTTGTTCTTGCGAAGCAACAATCTAGGATCATAAGGTGTTGGAGAAGGCTTACTATCAATGTAGCCAAAGCGATTCAAGATCTTCTCCATATAATGGGACTGCAAGAGTGTAATCCCATTCTCACCTCTAATTAGCTTAATGTTTAAGATAACATCAGCTACTCCCAAATCTTTCATATCAAAATTTTGAGACAAGAATGATTTAACCTCATTTATCACCTCAAGGTTTGTCCCAAATATCAGTATGTCGTCAACATACAAGCACAAAATAACTCCCTCACCCCCACCATGGCGATAGTACACACATTTATCTGCCTCATTGACTCCAAAGCCTGCAGATGTCAATGTTTTGTCAAATTTCTCATGCCATTGCTTAGGAGCTTGTTTCAGACCATACAAAGACTTCAACAATTTGCACACTTTGCCTTCTTGACCTTCAACTACAAACCCATCAGGTTGATCCATATAGATCTCCTCATCCAGCTCTCCATTAAGAAAAGCTGTCTTAACGTCCATTTGATGAACGAGAAGACCATGTGAGGCTGCTAGGGAAAGTAGCACACGAATTGTGGTCAATCTAGCAACAGGTGAGTAAGTGTCAAAGAAATCTTCGCCTTCTTTCTGAGTATAGCCCTTAGCAACAAGCCGAGCCTTGTACTTTTCAATAGTACCGTCAGGCCTAAGCTTCTTCTTGAACACCCACTTGCACCCCACAGGTTTACACCCATAGGGTCGCTCTGTCACCTCCCAAGTCCCGTTAGCGATAATGGAATCCATTTCACTACGGACAGCC